GCCAAAGTGTCAAGCATGTTCGGATCGGCTGCAATCGCATCTCGAATGGATCTCATCCTGCGGGCCAGGCTCACGTACGCAGCGGTGTGGTTGCGAGCCAAGGCGATCTTCTTGTGGACCTGCGGCCGAGGCGGGTATGTGTGCACTCAGGTACCTTAAGGTGGGTACCAGAGGATACTTGCGGAGTCAGAACTAGCGAGCTACTCGGGGCAACCAAGCTTGCAAACAAAAACTTTGGAGCTACATGCATACTTTAATTAAATGGGACGGCTTGCAACTTGCAATGATCGAAGATCGCAGCTGCGGTCTTGACATCTGAATTTGAGCTTGAATCCCGAGACGGCCCGAGACCTCATCCTCAAAGTCTCAAAGCTATTAACCCCAACAGTCCAGCATGCAGCTGTGCGCCTGGGCGTGATCGCCCTCCACGGCTCTCTCGGCCACTGGGCAAAAATACAGACGGCCTAGGAACTTGGCTAGCAGCGGCAAGGCATCCAGGTCTGCTTCGTCATCCAAGAATTGCAATACTTGTTCACGCATGCTTCGCTCTTGTAGCTCTGCAACAAGTGGTGTGTCTGCAGGAATCTGCAGACAGGTCCGGAGAAACCTTTTCCGGACATTTGCAGAAGGATGGGCACAGCCGAAAACACACCAGGGAGGCTTCCTCCAGTGGTCCAGCCGCAGATTCACAATGAAAACCAAGTGCGACCTGGCACGTTCAAACTCTTGCAGCAACAGTGCCCGTGACTCTGGACTCAGTTCTCGTGGCAGGGTCGTCAGCAGCTCAGAGGCCCTCTTATTGCTAAGATCTAGCAAGAGTCGCTGAAAAGCACCTTCATCGATTTCTGGTGCCCGGCATCCACGAAGAGGGCAAGCCCTCCACACAGCTTGAACATCCTTTGGAAATTCGAGGTCTGTGATATCCCACAATTCCCAATGGCACGGGCAGCCTTCGATCCATGTCAGGCAACCCTGAATCACTCTGGCCAAGCTTTCAAGCATGTGCAAGTTTCCCCAGAAATCGGGGTCCGAGATTGCATCATTGACGATCGAAAGGTCCACGCTGCTGCCATGTTGAGCTGCAGCATCGCCAGGCCGCGAGCTGCCGTATTTCTCTGAATCCCACGCATACCGGAGAGCGGCTTCTACTTTTAGCAACTCTGAAACACAAACTGCTATGGAACCCCATCGGGAGGGGTTCAACTTCACTTGGAAGGCTTTGATCTCCTTCTGCAAATGCTGTGTTATAGGGCCACTGAAGCAAGACTTCAGCAAACGATCTTTGGGATCCTTTCGGGCCAAGAATTTGGAAAGATGAGCCATTTTCTTCACTACCGAATCGAAGGTCGTCATGGATCGACCTAAGTCCATGGTGCTGTTGTGCATAATGTGAAGTAAACCGGCGATCCCGCATGATCGTGTGAAGTCTACCTCGGCATCCAGCTCCAACTGATGTTCACGCAGAGGCGCGAGTGAAAGCTCTTCGGTTTCTTCAGGAATGCTGCTTGGAACCCACGGAAAAAGCGTCTTCACAGGAATTGGTGGTACTTTCCGAATGTTGTACTCTACGCCTTGATCTGTTGTAAACGAAAATATGCTTTTGCAGTACTCTTGCAACGCAAGCGGGTTGCCGGTCTCAAGCCAAAAAGCATGAACTGTCGTATGAAACTTGTGGAACAAACTGCTGTGTCCGCTGCCAAGAACCACTGCTGGGAGTAGGTGCACCTCCAAGCCTGCACAGATTTGTGCATGCAGCAGCTGCTCTTTCTCTTTGGTCTCGGCAATGTGCTTGGCCAAGTCTTCTTCATCCGGAAAAACACACGCGGCCACTTCCGAAACAACACTTTCCCACATGTTGTAAGCTTCTTGGGCTAAGAGATACATGTTGCCACTATCAGAAGTTCTCATGCTTGTGACCCGAATCAACTCGAAATCGTAATGCCCTTGCACCGAGGAATCCACCATCACGTATCGCAGCACCCCACCATTTGCACAGTCTTGCTGATTTTTTCGCCGGCAGTGAAGCATGTAGGCAGAGTCGACGGTCATGCGAGCCCTCGAAATCCTGGCCGCACTCGGCAAGCGGACCCTGTCACTGTCCTCTCCTTCAAGGGCTTCAAGCACAATCTCTGCCAAGGATTTTGGCAGCACAAGTTTCACTGCTTGCACGAGTACTTGCTTCAAGTCCCCAGCATCACGCAGGTGGCTACACAACAAAAGGCATTGAATCAGGAATGTTGACCGATATGCCATTCTGGAGCTACAGACTCTCCCTCTGGACTGAAACACCCGGTGCATCATGCTCCCTGATCCCATATCATCCTGAAAATGCTGCAACTCTGCGACGGCACGCGAGCACTGCTGCAAAAGGTCTGAGTCGTCACCTGAAAGAAAACGCGCAGACATCACACGTATAAGTTCTGCAGCATGCCCAGCGGAATCAGCTGAAAACGATGTTCCCGGCAGGTTGCTCTCCTGGTCCAGATCCTCCAAGCTTGGAAGGACGAACTCCCGAACAAGTCCCTGAATGAAGTGCCAACCCATGATCTTTTTTTTCAAGCGCACACCCACAGAAGAAAGGGCGCCCTTGGGAGGGTCTGGCAAAGCGAATGACTGCCACAGGCCTGCTGCCACGTGGTAGGCCACTGCTGATGGCAAACGCACGAACAAATATGCATTGCAGTCGTCAACTAGCCACTCTTCTTCCTTGCCCTCCGAAGCTAATTTCCGGAACAGATCTCCAGGAGCATGAGGGTCCAGCTTGCAGAAAAAACTTTGCAAACGCCGTCGGTCTGTTACTGGCAAACAAATGGGCTGCTCGAAAGGAACCAAATCGCACACTCGGAAGAAATACAAATCATTCCGTAGAAAATCAATGCTGAATATGCTTTGCCACAGGTTGCGTTGCCACTTCTGATCTGGCTGAAGCAGAGACAACGGCTGATTGACGAACTCGGCTTCAATTCGTGCTGCAGCAAGAATCTGATCATGCGAAAGATTGCAGCCCAGCGGGTGCTCTTGCAAAGCCGCTCGCTCTGGTTCTGTCAAGCAGGCTACAGAGCATGAATTCCAGTTGGTTGTATATCTGCCAGTCAACGCATGACCCCACCGCTGTTCGACACCGTGCGTGCCGATCCAGCAAAAAACCTGGACCATGGCAAGGGGTACCATCACACTATGGGCTTTTGGCCGTGGAATGGTCCTGGACTATGGGCTCTGGACTCGTGTGGACTATGATGAAATCGACTCCACCAATGCCGAGGCGAAATAAAAGGTTGCAGCTGACTCTGACGTCTGTGATCCTGCGAATCTGCGAACAGATGATCTGGTCAAATGCTTTTTCGTGAAACATGTGAAAGACGTACCACATTAAAGTCTGCAAAATTATGGCACTAAAAGGAGCCTGTTCTGATTATCTTCAAGCTTCACAGTGCGCACGCACAGATAAAACATCGACGGAGTGACCAGATCAAAGGGTCACAATCAAAACACATCTTCGATTTATTAAACCCACTAAAAAACGAAATCTCCTTTCCAAACCGCTTGCATACACGGAACACTATAGTTACAGTTTAGGGCTTTAGCTCGTGCAAAGTTCAAAAGACTGCATAGCCACGGTTCTGGTTAGCCGATTAGCTGATTGGGACTGGGACATAGGACCGCAACGCTCAACACCACAAGACACAACACCGACACACTTCTTCCATAAAGAACAAATCTTTGGATTTGATTAGGTTTTCCGGCTCCGGCATGACATGATACACAGGTATATGAGATTTGAAAGTTTGAATCTGGATTGGCCCAACAACGTCGAAAGTGAAAGCATTACGCTGCCGTTCCATCATCATGGACAGTGCCCCGAGCGCGAAGCGGCAAGACACGCGGTTAGCAGAAAGAACCCTGGAGGGTTTTCGAGGGTCTTTGTGACGGTTTCGATATGGAGCTCAGGGATTCTGGCGTTTAGGCTTTGGGGTTTAGGAGTTGGGAGGAATAGGGTTGGGTTGATTTGTTCGAGCCAATTTGAGTTTGAGCCAAAGTTTGAGCCAGCGAAATTATCTGTACAATGTGAAATGTGCAACATGTGAAACTGTGAAACGTCAATAAAAACTGTACAGACTGTACAATGTGAAAAATGTGAAACTTCTCAAAACAAAGGTACTGGCACTGTGCACACCGTACTGACCGTACAATGAAGCTCATGAAACTGTGAAACGTTTTCTGAGACATCGGTACTGTACAATACAGACTGTACACTGAAACTGAAACTGTGAAACCTGTTCTGAAAGCATCGGTGCTCGCTGGTGTGAGTCGAGACAAGGAAGTGCACACCGGGCCGGGCGCTCTTCACACTGACACTTCGTTGACTTCGTTGGCTGGGGCTTGGCAAGGACTTGGGCTGGGCTGGGATCATCATGAGTGGTGCGGGTGGGCCAAGGAAATGAATTCGCAACACCCCCCGCCCCCCATGCCCCATATCCCCGCCTCCCCCCCTGCCCTGCCCCCCCGCCCCCCGTGGGCTTCAAGCATAGAATGGAAGCAAGTGAGGCACACCGGCGAATCAGCAAAGATGATGTGATTTGACTCGAACGTGAACTCGCCCCGACTCGCCCCCAATCACAGCAGCACATAGAACTTTAGAATGGAATCTTTCTTGAAGCAAGTGAAGCACACTGCCCCAACAGCCGAGGAGCTGGGAATTGACACCGTTGCATTTCAATAGAGTGAATGAGTGAATGTGCAAAGATGCTTTGATTTGACTCGAACGTGAACGAGCCGCCACAGTGTCAGTGATCTTCTCCCATGCAATATCATACTGCCAATTGTGAGCACCCCCCAATCACAACAGCACAAGAAACTTTAGAATGGAATCTTTCTTGAAGCAAGCGAGGCACACCGCCCCAACGGCCAAGGCGCTGGGAATTCAGACCCTTTCAAGTGTGAATGTGCAAATATGATTCGATTTGACTCGAACGTGAACTAGCAGTCAGATTGAACTTCTTTCATGCAATATCAGACTGCCAATATGAGCACCCCCAATCACAGCAGCGCAAGAACCAAACAGGAAAGTTAGCAGTCGAGCTATCCACGGTCGAATGGGAGGGCACATGCGGCGCAATGGCCGCCCAAGACAGCTTGTAGGCCTTCTGCACCTCACGCCCAGCATACATGTCTCCAAGCGACTGCCGCAGGCTTTCCCACGACCCGATCTCAATCGCCTCCTTGCCCTCGACAAAGAGCTCCGCATTGCCCCGGAGGCGCTCGCAAGTGGCTTTCTGAGCCACGGTCCAAGTCGCTGGGTGCAGCAGCCCCAGTCTACATATGATTCAGCAAAGCCACTTGGAGCCAGGTCCACGCCTCCACACCAACGCGTGAGCCCTGCTCGACGATCTCCAGCCAGGTCTCCGATGGGAGGTCATGCGAGCCCCAGGCTTCCAACATCACCTTCATCACACGAACCGGACGTGGGTGTGATGAAGGACAGAGTGGAGCTCCAATGCAGCGGGAATGCCCCACCAATGAGAGGGGGAGGCGATGATCAATGGGTTCGTGGGCCGCGTGCTGCCGGCCGTGAGCCGCTGATGGGCATCCTCTCCAGTCATGGTAAAGCGCCCGGCCCTGTCAATAATACAGATGTCGACCGCCCCTGTAGTGCCAGCACATACCGTAGTGAGTAGTGGTGAAAAGGTCAACAAAGGCGCCCAGTTCGTTGTGATGATCATAGAAGAAGGAGAAGAGGGATGCGGCCTGCGCCTCGGTGGCGAGCTGTCCCGGAGGAGGGAGCTCTGGCAACCAGTCCGATATGAACTCCGCAAAGGATGTGCCCTCAGCCACTACTCGGTGCGCGTCACCAGTGTCGGCGTTGGCAGGGCGCGCGTTGCTGAGGCCAAGACCATGCTTGAGGGAGTCAAAAACCCGGTGGTGGGTGTGACGACCGTGATTTTCCGTCCAGCCTGGACTGCAAAACGATGCCCACAGACATTGTAGGCGAGAACCAGAAGGACACAGAGCAATTCCACAAGGCCTTCTGGGTGCATGGCCGACGATGTATGCCTTGGTAGTCGGACGAAATCGCAACCCACTGAAGTTGTCTTGCAGCGGTATCCGCAGCCAGCTCGCCAATGGCAGTCACAGGCTGGCAGCCGAAGCAGACTGTCCCTCCTGCTGCCTCTCATCAATCACAATGATATGCGCGCTGCTGAGGTAGGTTTTTACCTTGCTGTAGGAGGCATAACGGAGCTGCAGCGCGGCGGATCCCTGCGTGAGCAGCAGCATATGAGCTGCTAACTGAGGGGGAGGCAAGACGTGCGGTGTCCCGTTGCTCCTGGCTGAGTCGTGGCAATGTCCCCTAACCCTGCCGCGTGGTGTTCGGCAGCTTCAGTGAAAGGCACATGGTCAAAGGACGGGTCAATCATTTCAGCATCACCAGATACCCTCCGCAACAACGAGCGGGCGCAGCCATTGTGGGGCATCCCCCGGCTAAGAGGTTGGAGGCGATGCGCACAACCACAATGAGCGTAGAATGCTGCTGTGCTGTCCAAAACACAGTTTGCTCCAGCACAGCATCCAGACAGACCAGGGTGCACCACAGAGAAAAAGTTTTGGATGATTCCACACAGTCTAAAATGCTGAGCGAGCTGCGGCCGGGCGGCCAGATTGGTGATGTGCCCACTCAGGAGGCCATCTGGGCTGTTTTAGCAGCTCATCAATGTGGTGGCAAAAGATTGTCCCATCAGGGCGGCCAGAGTGTGAAACTCGGCTGGGATCAGCGTTGCCGGCAGGCGCCAGTAGAACGGCTTCCGAGGATTGTAGTTTTGAGCTACTGGGCAAGGATGGGATTTTTGAGCTTCACAAAATCGGCCGGCGTAAGGTTAGGGGCAGCAGGGAAGTGAAAAGCTCGGAAAAGAGGCAACTGAGGTGGCTCCAAACGAAAAGGAAATCTCTCAGAGTTCTACTGCCTCCATCCGCACTTGGGTGTGGCATCCAATAAATGCGCCGGGTGCTCCGCGCCACGGCTGACTGCTCTTTCTGGCTTTCTGAGGGCCACGTGACCGAGAAGCGAAATTTCCCGGCTTGGAGGTTAGGTCTCGTTCTTTCTTGCTGGCGTGCAGTCTGCAAAGTTGACCTCTCCCTTTTCGGTCTGGGCGACCTTTCCACAGCTCTTGCCGACAAGCCCTTCGGGTTTTCGAAAGAGCGTAGCTCTCTTGGTGTCCGACGCATCACTGGCAGCTAGCTTGCCCATTCCAATGTACCCACTGCTACTTTGCGCCGTCATCGAGAAGCCTGACCTACGAGCACGGGGCGTCTTTGCAGCGCGCTTTGCTGAAACTTTATCGCCTGCGTGCCCTCTTTCCAGGCAATTGCATCTGCCTGGTACGGATTGTCTTTCTTTCTCCGATTCGGTCTCTGACAAATCGTAGCAAGAGATGCGCCCTTCTTCCTCACCCGGGTGCAGAGCGCGCCTCGAGTGCTTCGCTTCCGCAACAGCACTAGGAGGCGATCTGACGCCTACATGCGCGCCCGGTGCCCCTCCCGTGACTCTGTAAGGCCATGAACTTGGACGTGTTGAAGGTCCGACACATGGGTTTCCTGCCGGACAATTCGGATAGACGTCTACGCTCTGGGAAAGAAACCACACTGCTGGCCGTGATATGCAACTCTGCGGCTTCAAGCGAAGTGCATGGTTCTACCGAGCACAGGTGTACAACGGGCTCGCTCTAAATCCCTTCTCTAGAAAAGGTGGGAAGCTCCGTGTTTCCTGCAAAGAAACCCATGACGGTTGATGCGTCCCCGTTCAGTACCCCGTCGGTCACAAGAACTCAGCCCGCTACGCACTGGAGCAGCGCCCCAATGACGACGATGATGGGCCTGACGACCCATATAGGTCCAACAGGCAATTTGTAATATGCCCAGTGGCTGAGCCAGCCAATAGGTCCACCTTGCAGCGAGCTCAATGTGCTTCCAGCGGTTCTATGCTTCAGCCTGAACCAGGAGGTGTGCCATCCGGTGGTGCTCGACTCTCCTCCTCGGTGACCAAATTTTTTTTTTTGCGGCCACGAATCCAGTAGGCGACAACCTCCAGCCTTCGAAGCTGCGGCACGAAGACGCCACAGGGCGCTGTGCAGTGTGGGGGTACTTTGAATGTGTTCTACGTTTTTTGTTGTTTTTCAGGCCCCGAAAATGGACTCGTAAAGCTCGTTGAAAGTGTGGCAAGGTAGACAACCCTAGACGAGGTTTTCCGGCCTGGAGGAGTGGAAGGGACTTCGCAAGGCTGCAGTGCATGAACAGTCGCCTTCAAATAGTGCCCGAATAGTGCTCGAAATGGTGTCCGAATGGGGGAGTTTAGTTTGGGAAGGATTTGCAGAGTTTAGGACAGGATCTGCAAGGCAGGATTTGGGAGAGGGTCCGCAAGCAAGCGTTTGGAGGAGCATACACGAAAAACATGAGGGGTGGCATGTGCAAAAAATTGCAGGGTAGTCTATCTACAAGTTTACGGGGGCCTCAGCCATGCGAGGGTTCAGGGACAGATCAGGCAGGACTTCGGGGAGGATCTATAACGAGACTTTATGAAGGAGTTATGGTTTTTATCGAGTGCAGCAGCAGTCAGTCATTGACAGTTTTCTTGTTTGCATATTCAGAAACCTCCCTCCCGCCCCCTCAATTTCAATGTGTGCCGCAATGTGTGCCGCAATGCTCATTGGGCGCTTCTATGTAAACATTGAATTTGGGGGGAGCGGGGGGTCTGGAAGGTTTCAAGATTTGTGGACAAACAATTCCAAAATTGTACTATCGCGCGAGGCCATTTTCTGTAGGACGCATTAAGGTACCCCCATAGTCAGTTGCCGCTTTGCTTGCCATGCTGTGGTATTTATGACAAATAATTAGTTGTCATGACATCATGGTCAACAGTCTCAAGCTGACCACGCACAGACCCCGCGCATAGCTACAAGGTTGTTTTTCGAGCAAAATTCCAATCCAATTGGGAGCGTCTTTGTCCAAAGGTTTTCGATCCATTCTAGAGCCCATTTTCGAGCTCCAAAAACGAAGCCCAAAATGGGGTCTCCCCTAATAGTTTCCAATCAGGCGGTCTCAGCTTTGGGAACCAATTTTTGGCCTCAAAATGGGGACCAACCCGAGCTCAAAAACTGCGGAATTCTGCGAGGGAGACGTGTTTGAAGCTTTACCAAAGTTTTGCCCGACATGCGGCGACCAGTGTCGCGAGCGACCGCGTCTGTTGAAATCAATCAAAACGCTCCGTTGCTACCCTGGTGATTGGGCTTGTGCTGCTTAAGCACCGTTGTTTGCCACTGTAACTGTGGGGGTACTCTGATGTGTCCTACGTTTTTTGTTGTTTTCCGGGCCCCGAAAATGGACTCGTAAAGCTCGTCGAAAGTGTGGCAGGGTAGGGAAGCCCTGGACGGAGGTTTTCAGGCCTGGAGAAGTGTTGGGAGGGACTTGGCAAGGCTGCGGTGCATGAATAGTAGACGCCTTCAAATAGTGCCCGAATAGTGCCCGAAATAGTGCCCGAACTAGTGCCCGAATGAACCCTTCATAGTGCCCAAATGATTTTTCGCGAAGAAAAAGGAGATTTTCCTTCCTTTACGAAAGGAAATGTATTTGGGCACTATGAAGGGTTCATTCGGGCACTATTTCGGGCACTATTTCGGGCACTATTCGGGCACTATGCCAGGTGGAGGCTTGGGCGGCATTATCTGGAGGGCTAAGGGTTGGGAGGCCTGCAGGACCACCAAAACACTGGAAATGCGCACGAAGAATAGGAATTTGTGCTGCAGGAGGCATTGGGGAGTGATCTGCGGGGCAGGGTTTGGAATGCAAAAGGGGGGGTTTAGGGAAGGATCTGCAGAGTTTAGGGCAGGATCTGCAAGGCAGGATTTGGGGGAGGGTCCGCAAGCAAGCGTTTGGAGGAGCATACACGAAAAACATGAGGGGTGGCATGTGCAAAAAATTGTAGGGTAGTCTATCTACAAGTTTACGGGGGCCTTGGCCATGCGAGGGTTTAGGGAAAGATCAGGCAGGACTTCGGGGAGGATCTATAACGAGACTTTATGAAGGAGTTATGGTTTTTATCGAGTGCAGCAGCAGTCAGTCATTGACAGTCTTCTTGTTTGCATATTCAGAAACCTCCCTCCCGCCCCCTCAATTTCAATGTGTGCCGCAATGTGTGCCGCAATGCTCATTGGGCGCTTCTATGTAAACATTGAATTTTGGGGGGAGCGGGGGGTCTGGAAGGTTTCAAGATTTGTGGACAAACAATTCCAAAATTGTACTATCGCGCGAGGCCATTTTCAGTGTTCGAAAAACCACGAAAACTGTAGGACGCATTAAGGTACCCCCATAGTAACCCGGCAGCTTGAATCGCAAGCGACAGTTGAGCTTGTAACCCCAGTGGAATGTCCGCAAGCGGGAAGAGCAGTCGAAAAGTGCCGCGA